GTCACTAGATTGTTTTGATGTGCTCCTAGTAATCCTTTCCTCTCCAACAAATGTAAATGCAAACTTTCTTTTCCTTAATTGTCCCAAGTGAGCCTTCCAAAGAGTGGGGGAATGGTTTAGGAGGCAAACAAACGCTGAAGGTATGAAACTGATTAGTTTTGTCAATTTTGAACTAGAAAGCACAGCCCCGGACCACACGACTTTCCACTTTCTGATCCCTTCATTTAGTGATTGAATTGCCAATTCCACATAGTCAGTAATGAAAGGAATTGAATAGGCAACAAAATGAAAACCAGGAAGAGAATTCAAGAGTGTGTTGGGGAAACACCACGCGACAGAAACCCATTAGTAACAAAACCCCAAAAGCTCTCCGAAAGAGAGCAACATGGCATCGGTGTCAGGAGAGGGATCACCAGAATGAACTCTGCAACCTTTCTCTCAATGAGCCAAGGGTTATTTTTCAAACCAGTAGGAGGGCTGTCCATGATCAGAGCAGGGAACGGATGAGGACTGCCTGTTTCCAGGCCCTGGACAAAAAAGTGCAAGAAAATGTGCGGCTTTTGCCGCTCTAAACTGGCTACATAGGGATCTCATTTGAAAGAAGCTATTGCTCAGATTCTTGATGGTAACCTTTAACTTTCTAATCAGTGCCATTGATCTAAGCAGTTGCATAAATCTTTTAACAATTTCCAGTCTAGACTGCAAAAGGAGTTTGGCGCATCATTTTGAAAACCTCCCTGCCCAGGGAGGGCCCTCACATGTCAAGGGAGCTTAACAGCATGGGCTGCAAGGGGGCTCTTTCAAATATAGACAGACCCCTAGAGAAAGACGTGGGCGCAGGCTACACGAAGCTCTTTCTGTGGGTTTGATGCAACTAGTCCTTACGTTACCACCACTCATTTAATAACGGATCGAAGTTGTAATGGTGATGAATGAGGGGGGACTTACAAGGGGTCCCTTGGGGTTTCAGCTATCATAGCATCCCCACAAACAGAGTCATTGCAGAAGCTGGTAGGAAGTCAAGTCAGGTGATGTCTTCGTTTAAGGACCCACATGGTCCTCACTTAACAGCCAGAACTGCTGTCATGAAACTACATAGTCATGTAACATTGTACTTTATGATTGCCTCCCTTGACAATAGTAATTCTGGGTAGCAAGCCCACCTGGTTACATGCCCCATCCTCCAGGGTGGCAAGGTCCTTCACCGTGGGCATACTACCCTGAGGCTGTCTGGGCTCCTGGCCTCCGGCATGGGCGTCACTGCAACCACCTCCTCCTCCTCTTCCTCCTCCTCCTCCTCCTCCTCCTCCTCACCCAGCTGCACCTCCTGCAGTGAAAGCCACCTTCAACAGGGACCCAGACAAGATATGATCGTTTTAACCCAATTACCTCTATTGGAACCACCCATATTATTGATTGCAAAATATTGGCGCAAATTGTGGTTGAATTTGGGCAGTAAACCACATTTCTTAATTCCATGGCAACTGCTTATTCTCCCCAGTGCTTAGCTCTAAACATCTACATGAAGGATTTGGTGAAATGAACCCTGACAATTTAAAAATATTTTGGATGGTATGATTAAGTCTTAGGTTATATACAATTATTTCTGAAATATTTTGGAACTATCCTGCTTGACTTGTAGATTGTACCTTCAAATCTTGACACTACTGTACCTGCAAAATATGCTTTGTGTCTGTATGAAGTTTAAAACCTGGTTCAGACAGTTTGCTTTTTACAGTAATGTAACTGGGCAATGATGGCAAACGTGTATATGACTAAGCACGTTGTGGTTTTCATGTTTTTCTTTTTGACCTTTAAAAAGCATTTAACTGGCTATTGAATGCAGTAGAATATTTATTTTATTCATATATATATATAGTTAGTCCTCATTTAAGAACCATGTTGGGACTAGCAACTTGGCCATTAAGTGAAGTGATCGCTAAATGGAACCACACTGTGCTTTATACTCTTACTTCAGAGTGTACTGCACTCTTTCCTTTGCTCCACAGATCTGTGAAGGGCACAAAGTTACTTTTTTTGCCGCTGTTGTAACTGCAAATGGTCACTTGTATGAGACACTTTCTAAATAAGGACTCCCTGTATTGAATGATTATAAATCAGTTTTATAAACTATTGATTATAAATCAATATTAATACAGAATTGGGCAACACTAAATATTCATAAATTTCTTAGTGGTTCCTTCCCCGTTTCTTTTTTTGGAAAGGAAAATTACGATGCAATTAAGCTTGTTTCATAAATACATTGATCAGCTGATTGTAACTCTTGTTGTTATGAACTAGCTATTCCTTCTTTTTACACAGCAGATGGGGAGGATTACAACAGGATAGCAAAATAATGGATTAGAATGCAGATGTCTATAGGCCGGTGGATTCTCAATACGGTTTTATTTCTTAGGAAACATTTCCCGCAGTTCATGCCAGTGTTGCAGTTTCCTGATTTATGCTAAAATTCAAAATTGTGGGTCAGGCCTGCTCCAGTTTGGTCTTCTAGGAAAGAAATACTCTCGATTCCGTGTGTAGCCAAGAGAATTATTTTACTAAAAAGCCAAGTGGTTACAATAAAGCAAAGCCAGAACTGACTTTTTGCATGCGAAAGCCTTCCGGTTAACTTTCCCCTTTTCATTCCTCCTCCCTGTTGTCCAATTCCATTTGAAGAAGGTGTTTTGGTCACTAAGGTGGGCTGGATTGTGAGCCATTACATTCCATTTCCGGGCCTGTGGCCTTGGAGTGGTGAACCGATCTCTTGGGACAGCATGGTGTTCAATTTTGCTTTCCCTCAGCTCCTTCCCGCCATAGTTCATGGCAGCCTGGCATCTAGCGAAGAGAAGCTGGACCAAGGGATGGCACTCCTGTCATTGTGCTGGAAATTTAATTTAATTCCAGAAAAAATAGTGGTGTCCTATTTGTCCTTAAAACAAACAATGTTCATTGTTCTTAATAAAAGTATAAGGCAATTCTTTAAGAAAAGTTTAGCTTTAAATATGGTTGACGCGTTTTTAAAAAGTGTGTATATTCTATATATGTGTTACCTATGAGTTTCTTATTGCCAGCTCTGCAGAGTGTGATTTAGTGCGCGTTAATGTTGGCTTGTTCCATGGGTTGTACAGTTTCCATTGTGTCTGCCTAGATAACTGGTGCTTGCTGTGCCAGCGTAGAACTGTTTACTCTTAAATTAAGAGGTTGGCCACAGACACGCAGAGTCTTTGTGTCTTGGTTGGGTTTGGGATCATTCGACTTAGCTTTTAGCCCTTATCTAACAGAATCTTGAATGAAACAGAGATGTGGTAGGAAAGAACTTAATCCTGAGACAGGAAGGCAGACAGTTTTTACTATACTGAGAGGTTGGCCCTTCAAGTACTCTTCCCCCTCATCTCTCAGACTAAGAGCTCCATGATCAGTCTTGAATGAATACCATGTGGTTTCATTGCTTCTGAAATCATAGTCATCTGTGATAGGAGAAGCACAAGGATTTTATGATGTGTGTTTGTGCAACAGAACATACCCTGAGAAACTTCATTCTTTTTAGTGTTCCTAATAAGTTCATTAACATATATGAGGAATTTTATACAACATTGGTTTCTATCCCAGGCTGGGGTAATGGTTAATGGAGAAATTCTGCTTAGTACAGCTGTTAAGGAGACGACGGAGGGAACGTTAAGTCACCCTGAGTTTTCTGCATGAGCCTGGCCATAACTTTTATGCTCATTCATTCGTTCGTATAGTGGTCCAACTTGCATTTTTGACTGAACACTTTAATCAATGAAAAGCAATAGCAAGGAGAATAAAAATATGAATAAAATCAATAAACATAGAAATGTATTAAAACCACTATTAAAATACAAAACGCAGTCACAGTCAGCAGCTGAACAACACCCTAGTCAGTATAACCACTGAAAAAGCTCACCGCCATCACTGGACACCCCCTCCCCCCCAATCGTGGTGGTGCAACTATTATCTTCAGGCGCTTCCTAAAGGCCCAAAAGAAAGGGGCCAGTCTGAGTTGGGGGGCGGGGGAAGGTACTAATGTTTCAAATGGCAGGTGCCAAAGCAGAAAAGGCAGTCTTTCTAGATCCTGTCAAGATGACATTCCTTAGTAGATGGGATCCTAAGCATGCCCGTCTTGCCGGATCTGATAGGATGTGTAGAATAACCTTGGAGAAAGTGTTCCTTCAGTATCCCAGTCCCATATCAGTACTTCATTACCACCACCTTGAATTGCACTAGGAAGCCAATGCAGCTCAAAGAGTAGAGGTGTAACATGTGCTATTCAAGGAATGCAAATAACTACACTGCGCTCCCACTATAGAGTAATAGCAATAGCACTTAGACTTATATACCACTTTGCAGCCCTCTCGGAGTGGTTTACAAATGTCACCATATTGCCTTCAACAATCTGGGTTCTCATTTTACTGACCTCGGAAGGATGGAAGGCTGAGTCAACATTGAGCCAGTTAGGATCGAGCTCTTGGTTGTGGGCAGAATTAGCCTGCAATACTGCATTGAAATCATAACGATATGTTTATACCATTATCTTTTGCATTAGTTGCAGCTTCTGAATGCTCTTCAAGGGCAGCCCTGTGCAGAACCTATTGCAGTAATCCATTCAACTGATAACCTGGGCATGAGTAATTGAGGACATAGTATCCCAATCCAGGAAAGGCTGCAATTGATGCACAAGTAGAAGCTGTGCAAAGGCCTCCCTGGCCACACCAGCAGCTGTTCTTTGAGCAGGAGTTGTGAGTCCAGGAAGACGCCTGTGTGCAGGAGCCATTTGAGGCAATGCCACCCTATCCAGAACAATGGTA